CCTGCCCTGGGCCCGGGCGCGGGTGGGTCACCGCGGGCTGAGCGGGTCCCGGTGCCCGGAGGGGTGTGCGGGGAGCGGGGAGAGGGACGCGCTGTGCCGGGGCGCTGCGGGGCCCGGCCCGGGTGTGAGCGCTGGGCTCGGGCACGCGGGGGCTGTGCGGGGCCCTTTTGTGCGGAAAGTGACTCGAGACTTCCCGTGAGCAGCTGGAGGAGAAGCCGCTCGCGTTCCGTGTTGGGAACAGCAGGTCCCCTGGGCTGGGGCGGGGGGTGCGCGCTGTGGGCTGCCGAAGGACGAGCAGCTCTTCCCCCGGCTCAGGCAGTGCCATTTTGGATCAGCCTGACAGCGGCTGCGTTAATTGTCTCGTGGGAAAAGGAGCCTGGAGAGGGAGAATGTGTTGTCGTGAGGCCGGTGCAAGCCTTGATCAAAGTGCTGTGGCCAGCAAGCCTTATATATGTACATGAATCCCTGTGTATGCATATATAAAAATAACACGGTGGTAGTACTGCGAGTTTATAAAGCCTGTTACAAATTCCAGAAATGACGGCTTAAAATAGAGGTAGATTTCAGTTTGATAATGAGGTTGGGAAAACGTGTGCTGTGATGCTAAAATGGGAGCTTTTATTTCAGGCTCCTGCTCAGGTTCAGCCCTTGCTCGTGGGGTTGGTACCTGTAGTTCACACTGGCTGGTGAACTGCTCAGCGGAACCGCAGACCTGCCGAGGAGCAGGGCACTGTGCGTGGCTCAGGGCACTGTGCGTGGCTCAGGGCACTGTGCTTAGCTCAGGGCACTGTGCATGGCTCAGGGCACTGTGCATGGCTCAGGGCAAGCTTCTTCAGTGCTGAGTCCTCACGGAATTATCTGCAGGGAGGACCAAACCGTTCTTGTTTGTCACACAGAAAAACGCGGTGGATTTTCTGTGCTTTTACAGATCCTTCAGACGATGTATAAACTAGTAGTAACATTTGCTGACTGCCAGCGCAGGGTTCCCTCAACAGTGTAGGGAGCAAGTAGGAGGCTTTAGAAAAGCAGCAGCTTGGTGAGTTGGACGATGACTCACTGCTACTGACTGCAACGTGGCTGATCTAAAAAAAAAATCCTGTGCCCCGTGTTTTTATAGTCAAAAGGATAGTACTTAGCAGGTTGTATAATATGTCATTAGTCATTCTTGGTCTTTCTCTTGTGAGTAATGATTTGATCATTATGTGACCTGCGTAATCAAATTGACTGGTATCTATTTGTCGTATTTGTATTTCTGAAAAAGTAAACATCTCATACTTGACTGTTTCAGTGTACATCCTGTTTCCTGAAAACTGATAAATCCACATGCTGAAGTTGAGCACAAGCTGAAGGGTCTGCTTGCATGAGTGAAGCTGCTGGTGTGTGTTGGTACCTGCCAGCACTAGGGATAATTTCACAGAAGACAGCCCATCTGTGGGTCACTTCTGTTGACCTCTCCCGAGAGCTGATCTGTTTTAAGAGCATAGTTGTAAACCACTTAAGAAACTAGTATTTTTGTGTTTCCCTCTTTAAACTTTGTGGGAGGAAGGAATCAAAGTACCACTTAAAAAAACTGGTAGACTTGGAGAGGTGTCAGCCTAAATGAAAACATCAGTGCCTGCATAACTAGACTGTTTGGCACAAATCTTCATACTGTAGTCCTTGTGTTTCAGGTGGTTGGAACATGTTACACAACTGAAGAGGAATTTGTCAGTTTTGTTTTCTTTAGTGTGTATTTTAAAAAAACCCAGTTGGACTGATAGTTATGACTGAAACTGAAAATGTACAAACTCAGTGCATGTTGATGTCATCTTTGTATGTATTAGTGTTCAAAAAACCCCACCTTGTTATTTTCCAAAGTTAAAAACCACTGTGAAATGTGAAGAAGAAAATTTGTCAGCTTGAAAAAAAGCCTTGACTTCTCACTGATTACCCTCTAGGTAATTATTATCTTAGAGTGAAAGAAAGTTTGGGGTTAACTTTTTATTTTCCATCCTTCCTATCTCCTCCTAGTCCACAGAACTGTTTCTGTTGGGTAGATAGGCTGCTTCCTGGTCAGCTTCCTAGGGCTGTATCCTGTTTTGAATGTTAGCTGGGCCCAGCTTTTTGTGGCTTTGGGATCAAGTCATTTGCTTATTGTTACGTAGGAAGTTTGTAACAAGATCAGGTCAAGCTGAAGACTTCGATGAGTTGCATATGTTGACAACATTTGTTTTCTTAGCTATGTCACTAATTTTGAAAGTCATTGCATAGTTTCGGAAAACGTTTTAATTAGTGGTCAGTGGAAGGATTGGACTATAAGCTGATAATTAAAAATGCAGCATTTCAGAGATGCTGAATGGAAATTTTAAGACTTCTACTTTCATAAGCAAGTGGGCCATAGCTCCTTTTCTTCCTGAAGTAGTAATGTCATTACTGCTTTTGTGTTTGCCCTCATGTAGTCATGGCAGTAGGTGTAAGATCTGAGTTATGGTGAAGAGATGGGCACGTTACTCCTTGCTACTGAAGGGCATACTTTCGAATCTGTTCCTGTGCTGTTTAATGGAATTAGCTACAAGAGAGGTTCCAGATGTGTCACCAGCTGGTGCAGACCAATTCGGTATGGCTGCATATTGAAGACATCAGCAGTGTGAAACAATAAGCCTTAATTATGGCGGAGAATACAACTGGTTTTAGATGGTCCCAAGGATATAAAATACAGCTTATTGCAGGGTATTTGAGCAGAGGCCTTAGACCTTGAGTTAATATGAAATTTAAAGTTTTAATATAAGTACAAAAATAGATTTCCATAACAGTCTTTTTGGGGGGTGGGCAACGAAAGCAAAATGGTCTGAGGTGAAGTGAACTTTTTTACAGGTAGCAGCTCAGTAAGTGAGCCCTGAAGGTGGTGGAATGAGAAGGCATTTTAGCTTAAAAAAAAAAAAAAAGTTAAGAATCAAGAGGCTAGATTTTCCAATTTTTATAATTGTGAACAAAGAGTTGGATGGTCACTGATGCTATCCTAATTAACTCCAAGATAAATTTTGTATTTGTCCTTTAAGTAAATTCATGGGTATTGTAAGAGGGGTCTTCACACTCCTGTCTTGCTTCTGATAAAAATTTCAGTAGTTTTCAGGAAAGGTAACAGTGTTACCTCATTATGTTTGTACTGAGGCTATAGTAACCCTTGTAAAACACTGCCTAGGATTAGGGCTCTGGGCAGTGTGTGAAGAAAGGAATCTGAAGGCAATAGGTGCATGTGCTGAGGTAAAGAAATCGCTGAAGATCACCCTTCTGGCAGGGTTCTCTACCACACCAATGGAGGGCAGCTCAACGCCTTTCAGTTTAGAAGTACTGCATTTGGTGATGTTTGTTTAAAAAGAAAAACCCAGCAGAGCATAGTGTGTGTTTCCCCCTTCTTTCCTGTGTTTGTCCCGTGGCTGTTCGAGTACCTGGGGGTAGGTGGTGTGAAGCAGCCAGGGGCTGTGTCTCAGTGCCAGTAATATTTAAATGTGTTGAAGCAGTCTTGTTTCTCTTTACCAGTGTGCCTGCCTTTATTTTTTTCTGCATGCAATTCTGATTACTTTAGTGAATTGAGGCCATTATTTAGAATATGTTAATTTGTCAGCTGCTCTTGCTGCCTTGTTAGAAGTGGGACCACTTGTTTTGGTTGGTCTGAGTTGTCCCGCTGAAGTGCCAGCACAGTTTTAAGGGAAAACGCTCATGGAATTAATTCTAAAGTGTTAAGATCCTTTGGAGAACTTTACATTTGTTTAGAGAGCTGGCTGAAGAGCTGAAATGTGTTAATCTGAGATCAAAGAGAAGACATTTAGTGGTTTTGTGTGACCTGTAGCAGTTGGGGAAGAACATACAAGTGACTTGTAGTGGAATTGCCCAAACTTTACCACACTGTGTAAGGTATGTGTTTGACTCTTCACTTAGTGGCAACTTTGAGCTTTTAAAAGAAATGAGGATGTTATGCAAAAACACAACATGTGGTCTTTATGACTGCATTCTGCTGGTGCAGATAGGGAAGCTTACTGAGAAAATAACCGCTTTTGTTTTCATAAATAGTAGTGGCATTTGTTAGACTAATAAAAAAATGGTGTCTGAAATTGCTCTTATGTTAGGGGAAATGGTTATAGAATATATCAGTTACTGTGTAAAATGTACTTGCTGTTAGTTTCTGTTATCTAGGTTGAGTAAGTGTAGAAGTAATGTTTGTCTAATATGTAGGAATTACCCTTATGATTCTTGTAACAATGAATCTGTAGAGGCAATGTTATGATTTGAGATGTTACTAAACTTTATCCAAAATCCTAAGGGTTTAAGCTTTGTAAGTGGCAGTGGATGTGTGCTGTGTATTCTGGAAAGTCAGTGAGCCCTGGGAGTGCACAAACCTTACCCCTTTCATGTGAACAGTACTCACCTCTTAGTGTGGTGAAATATTTAAAACCTTGATTATGTCCTAGTGGAAAGAATTCTTCCAGAATGTAGTGACCAAGATGCAGGATATTCTTTCCGACTTGTCTCTTAACAGTTGTATTGGAGAATTGCCAAGTTTTCTGTGATATTCCTGTCTTTATTAATTTTCAGTAGGATTTTCCATGGTGTGACTTACCTTCTCAATAAGTTATATCTAAAACTTTCACAATAAATGTTTAGAAATGGCAGTTGGCGATGTCTGTCAGTTTTCCTCCAAGTGTGAAAAGTATATATCATTTCTAGTTTAGCTTTTGTGATGGTTTCTTATTTGTAAGTTGTATATTTAGGACAACTTCAGGAGTTTGGGGAGGGGGAAGGCCTCTCTATGTAATGGAATACTGATGTATTTTTCTCTCCTTTTCAGGTTGTCACGGAGTAAAATGGATGGTAGCTTTGATTGTGATTGTGGTGAGCTGGAGCCACCTGATCATTAACAGGAGGCATCTTTTGTAAATCAAGAGCTGCCAGTTTCCCGTTTAATTAGACTGTAAACAAAGGAGAGATAAAGGAGGAAGAAGGAAAAAAAGTGCTTACCAGCACCATAGAATGACGCTGCTCAGGACCAGTCCAACACTGAATGTATCTGCACTGTGAGGAGGAGGATGTTAATAGAAGCCTATTATGTGCATATTTATTCACATTTTTGTTAAATGTTAACCAGTTTAGCACAGTAGAGCTGAGTGCATAGTATGTCATTTCATTCCGTTTGAGTTTCTTGTGAGTGTTTTCTTTAATGTCTGCAGAAATGCTGCACCTTTCTTGAACTATGAATGCTGCAATCTTTCTATCTTATGCTCAGTTTGAGTTCTAGAGCTTACGGGCTCTAAATTCAAGGGGACACAACAGGCCTGGCTGGCTCATAATGAAATGAGAGTGTCAAGAAACCACCTTGCAGTCAAAGCCAAGTGTTTCTTCTCCCTTTCTGTAAGACCTTTCCTTCAGATACCAGTGGAAGTGTCTCTGCGTGTTTACAGAAGCTTAGTAGTTTGAGGAAAAAGAAACGTAAAGAATTTTAAAATGGCAGAAAAATTTGAAAGTCTCATGAACATTCATGGTTTTGATCTGGGCTCTCGGTATATGGACTTAAAACCACTGGGCTGTGGTGGAAATGGCTTAGTTTTTTCTGCTGTCGATAATGACTGTGACAAAAGAGTGGCTGTCAAGAAAATTGTCCTTACAGATCCCCAGAGTGTTAAACATGCTCTACGTGAGATCAAAATTATTAGAAGACTTGACCACGACAACATTGTCAAAGTATTTGAAATTCTTGGTCCTAGTGGAAGCCACTTAACAGATGACGTGGGCTCCCTTACAGAATTGAACTGTGTTTACATTGTCCAGGAATACATGGAGACAGATCTGGCTAATCTGCTGGAGCAAGGCCCTTTACTAGAAGATCATGCCAGACTTTTCATGTACCAGCTGCTACGTGGGCTCAAGTATATTCACTCTGCAAATGTTCTGCATAGAGATCTCAAACCAGCTAATCTTTTCATTAATACTGAAGACTTGGTGCTGAAGATTGGTGACTTTGGTCTTGCACGAATCATGGATCCTCATTATTCCCACAAGGTATGTGAAGAGCAGGAATATTTCGGTGCTCAGCTGACAGCTGTGCCTTCTTAAAATAGCACCTTTCTCCCTTGTGGCAGAGGTGGGCACCCTGTGGAGGGCCTTGTTAGCAGTGGGATATCATGGTAGGGATCCTACAGTACAACTGGAATGCTTGCAAGTAGAGTGAAAACAGATCTCTGGATGACAAGCTTTGTCTCAGATAGGACCAGTGGAAGCATAAAATAAAACTTTTTTTTTTTGGTGAAGTGTTCAGAAATGCAGATCTTTAACAGTTAATACAAAACCTGAGATGAAGAGCAACGCTCACAGGTGTAACTATAGAAGCCCTGGAGGAGCTGGTAATGGTGCAAGTATGGTTTCTTCCTGGGATTGATTTAGAGATACTATCTTCCTGGTTTAGACAGTGATGTTTCACAAGAGAGTTTGTTATTATCTCTGCATTTATTTGGCATCTGGGAATAAGAAGGCAGCACCTCATTTGACTAATAGATCTTGTAGCAGTGCATTAAAAAAAAAAAAGAAAAAAGTAATTTTTAGAAATGCCTCTTAAAAATGGAAGTATGCTTTTTTTCTTCTCTTTAGGGCCATCTTTCTGAAGGATTGGTTACTAAATGGTACAGGTCACCCCGTCTTTTGCTCTCTCCTAACAACTACACTAAAGCCATTGACATGTGGGCTGCAGGTTGCATCTTTGCTGAAATGCTGACTGGGAAAACCCTCTTTGCAGGTGGGTGGAATAAAAGGCTGTGTGTATATTCCTCAAAGGAGTGCTACTGCATAATTATCTTCCTAAAGAAAGCTTTATTCTCGTGGCAAATACCAATAGTCGTTGACTATCGAGATGTGCTAAATTATTATGCAGTTATATAACCAACTATAAATGTATATATTTGTAGAGCAGCAGGTGTTCCATTTTTTTTACTTAAACCACTGTGTATTTAGATAAATGTCACAATTAATTTAGTATTCACATATATGATGAATCTGTGTAATTATGTTAAGCTAAATTTATTTGATGCCCAGGAAGTGTTTAAGATACATGTACTTTAGTGAATTGATGTATCCAGGGAATATTTGAGGATTATGAATGCCCTCAGTATCATATTCAAAAAAATTTTTTTCAATGTAGTCAACCTAGTCACTTCTCAACTCTTTGTATTTTAAGTTGTGAAAGAGTAGCCTTTTTTTCCCTATTCCCATTTTTTTGGTCATCTACAGACTGTTTCAACCTAACTTTGTTTTAGTGGTTATAGGGAGAACTTGGTTTAGATTGGTATGCCAAGGGTATTTGTAACCTTCAAATGTTTCTGGTAAGATAGGCAGCAAAGCTCTGCTCTCATTGGGTGCATCTGCATTAGTGCTTTGGTTAGGATCAGGAGCAAGTTTTCTCTTGATGGCCATCCTGTAGTGCATTGCTGATGCAGCTCATTGCACAAACTAGGGTCTATTTAAACAAAATGAAACTGCCATTTGCACTGCAGGAGATGGCCCAGTGGGCTCCACCTGCTGAGAGGCATTCAGTCCATGGGAGCAGATGAGCTAGGCTAGAGAAAACCCCTGGAGTGCTTATTTTGTGTGCATCCTGGGGCCTCAGCAGCAGCTGTCTCATTCAAGCTCACTCTTGGATTTGCTCCTGTTGCTCTGAATTACTGGGGTAATACAGAGAAAACCTCTAAGAACCAACTCGCATTTCCATGTTCACATTCCTTTAGCTGCATGTGAACTAAGAGCTTGCCTCTGCAGTAATCCCTGGCTTTGTGCCTCGAGGTACTGAGACTGAGAGCTCCTTCCCATTATGTACTATTAATGGAGTTCTGTCACCTTGAAATCATTCTTTTACAGAAATCAGTGGCTAATATGCAAAGATGCTTTTCTTAACTTGCAGTGAGTTACTAAATATTGGAGTAATGCCCCAGTGTATTAAATGCTTGGCTGGTAAGAGATTGATTAGGTTTCTGTTGCATCAAGTACATCCCCTGGAAAATAGTGAATTAGTGGGAGAAAGCACATGTGTTTGGCATAGATTGATTGCAACTGGTAGCATTTTGGCCTTTTTTGAGTAGGATTTATATTTGCCAAAACTTTTTGTTCATCTAATATCTGTGTAGTGATTTAGATTTATTTTTTTTAAACTCAGTAACCAAAATTCTAATTGTGGACTCATTTATGTGCCCTAACTGCATTGTGTAGACACCTAGAAAAACACTGTTTTATGTGGATGTGTCCCTCTGATAATACAACACTGTCAGTTTTCTGACCTGAAGAGTGGACTTTTAAACATCATGCATTTGGAAAGGGAGTGTGGTTGGAATACAACAGTTAGCTTGTCCTGAGACTCTGAAAAAGGTTATTCTGCAAAGTTGTTTGGAGGGCTTGTTTTTGTTAATTTGCAACTTCCTGTCCACTTCAGAACCATCCCTTAGGAAATCTGCCATCTGGAAAGCTAGC